GGGGGGGGGGGGGGTGCGAGAGGAGGGGTAGAACACAGAGTGAAACACAGATTCCGAAGCAGGCTCCAGGCTGAGCTGTCAGCATAGAGTCCAATGCAGGGCTCAAACCCACAGAGTGATCATGACGTGAGCTAAAGCCAGATGCTCAACCAACTGAGCCACCCAGGCACCCCTAAAAATAAAATCTTAAAAAAAAAATTGCCCTTGAAGAACAGACTATATTTCAGGGATGTTAATGAAGATGGGAAATGTTATAAAAAAAACAAACAAACCAACAATCCTCCATGTAGTACACATGTCTAGCTTTGTTAAACATCTCAGCATTTTTACCGGCCTTCCAGATTTTTAGACTTTAGCTGTTGCTCTCCTTCATTTATTTGTTCTTCTAGCACCTTTATTCTGGCTTCTCTTTGCTCTGGAGTTTCTTGGCCAAAGAGCTTGGTAGTCATTCCCTTCAAGGAAAATGTTCTCACAGTCTAAAATGAAATAGAAACAGGTGAATGGATGAACAAAATGCGGCATATACATATAAAGAAATATTATTATTCAGCCTGAGAAACGAAAGAAATTCCAACACATGCTACAACATGGATGAACCTGAGAACATTATGCTAAGTGGAAATAAGCAAGTCATGAAAGGACAAATACTACATGATTCTACTTAATGTAAGGTATCTAGGGTAGTCAAAGTCATAGAGACAGAAAGTAGAATGGTGACTCTCAGGGGCTGAGGAGAGAGGGAAATTGATAGTTGATGTTCAATGGTATAGAGTTTCAATTTTGCAAGATGAAGAGAGTTCTAGAGGTTGGTTACACAACAATGTGAATGTACTTACTACTACTGAACTGTATACCACTTAAAAATGGTTAAGATTATCCCTAGTATAATCTTTCATTAACCTATGCTTCCATAAAACTGCTTTTAATTTATATCAATGTAAATTCAATAGCTGTACTAATTTCTTCCACTGTTTTCTGAGTTTGAAATAAGAGTAAAAATTAAAATATTTTTTAAAAAGAAAAATAAACAAGGGGCGCCTGGGTGGCTCAGTCGGTTAAGCGTCCAACTTTGGCTCAGGTCATGATCTTGCGGTTTGTGAGTTCGAGCCCCGCGTCGGGCTCTGTGCTGACAGCTTGGAGCCTGGAGCCTGCTTCGAATTCTGTGTCTCTGTCTCTCTCTGCCCCTCCCCCACTCGTGCTCTGTCTCTATCAAAAATAAATAAATGTAAAAAAAAATTTTTTTTAAAGAAAAATAAGCCACAGGTAAAAAAACAATGGTTAAGATGATAAATTTTGTTATGTATATTTAACCACAATTAAACATTTTTTTTTAAAAAGGGAAACAGAGGGGCACCTGCGTGGCTCAGTCGGTTAAGTGTCCGACTTTGGCTCAGATCATGATCTCACGGTTCGTGGGTTCGAGCCCCGCACAGGGCTCTGTGCCGACAGCCCAGAGCCTGGAGCTTGCTTCAGATTCTGTATCTCCTTCTCTCTGCCCCTTCCCTGCTCGCTCACTCTGTCTCTCTTTCTTAAAAATAAACATTTTTGGGGCGCCTGGGTGGCTCAGTCGGTTGAGCGTCTGACTTCAGCTCAGGTCACGATCTCATGGTTCGTGAGTTCGAGCCCTGCGTCAGGCTCTGGGCTGATAGCTGAGAGCCTGGAGCCTGCTTCCGATTCTGTGTCTCCCTCTCTCTCTGCCCCTCCCCCATTCGTGCTCTGTCTCTGTCTCAAAAATAAATAAACATTAAAAAAAAAAATTAAAAAAAAATAAATATTTTTTTAAAATTTTTTAAAAAATTTTTAAAAAAGGGAAACAAAACTTTTGCCATTTCCTCCTAACTCAGTACAGAAGCACCAATAAGTCTTACAATCAGGGGGCTCCTAATGTGATTCCTAACACTGGAATAATATGGAATAGTCAAAAAGAAAAAAAATTCTAACTGAACTTCTTAATCAAATGGAAAACTTCTATGTGAAGCATTAGGCAAGTTATTTCTTTAGATTAGAGGTCATTTTGTAAACATTTCTCTATGACATAAAAAATAGATAAAAAAATCCAACAGGTGACAAAGGAAACAGGCCAAACTAAAACAAAAAACATTTAAAATCTGCGCAATACACACTGAAACTTGGTTATCAATTAAATAGGATGCCTTCCCTTGGAGGGTAGCCTCAAGCATCACTGCTTTAACATTTCCTTACTCTCTGGAGATTACTAAGGGAAACACTTTTCCCTTCACATGTAGGAGTAGAGAATCATGCTCCCTGAAAATGGCCTGGGAGTTTCCCCTCAGTTCTAAAAATAAATCAAGCCTAGGGGTGCCTGGGTGGCTCAGCGGGTTGAGCTTACGACTTTGGCTCAGGTCAGGATCTCGCAGTTCAGGATCTCGCAGTCCTGGAGTTCGAGCCCTGCATTGGGCTCTGTGCTGACAGCTCAGAGCCTGGAGCCTCTTCGGATTCTGTGTCTCCCTCTCTCTCTCTGCCCCTCCCCTGCTCATGCTCTGTCTCTCTCTCTCTCTCTCAAAAATAAACATTAAAAATAAATAAATAAGTGAAAGAAAGAAAGAAAGAAAGAAAGAAAGAAAGAAAGAAAGAAAGAAAAGAAAGAAAGAAAGAAAGAAAAAGAAAGAAAGAAAGAAATCAAGCCTAGTATATACATGTTTCATAGTCAAATGGTCTTTTCCTACAACATATATCTGTGACTTTTCAGAGATAACAAAGTACTTGTTAAGTATGAAGTGACTGGTAAATGGTAGCACTGTCACTTTCATTATTTCCAGATTGTGTACTCTCACGACAGCTAATTTATTCCAATAAAATGGCTAGACAATAGAAAGCCGATTATAAAAATGATCTAAGGTTCATAAAATAAGATACAGAATTTTCTTCACAACTATTCCCTATACCAGAAGCTCCTTCTTATGAGAGATGAACTGATTCAAACTGGGCAACGCTTTCCAAAATAAGCTAAAATTTCTATGATTTACTTTGTAAAAGTCATTATTTCAATCACAAAGAATAATGCTTTTTCACTTGTACTGAATATAAATGAGAAGACACTATACAGAGCAATGCTGGCAGAATTTCTTACACTGCTATGTAATATGATGTTTTAATGGCTTATATCTTTTTATATCAAGATCACAAACCAAGGAATTACAAAGTTGCCCATAAATTATTCCCCTATAAAAGCTACAGGCATCTTGGGTATTACAACTGCAGCTCATTCCTTATACGGCCTGCGGCACTAATACCAGAGACTGAAATGTAAACACACTCACCCCAGTTGCCAGTTCCTCACATTGCTGCTTTTTGGATGCTAAGTCCTGAGCAGCCATCTCCAAGTCATACTGCATAAGTTCATGTTTCCTGCATACAGCCCTAGGGATGAAAAAAAGTGTTGCCACTTAATTTTTATGGCTTCTCTTTTAACATATTAAAATTTTTCAGGGGCACCTGGGTGCTTCAGTCGGTTAAGCATCCAACTATTCATTTCAGCTCAGGTCATGACTTCACAGTTGTGGGATCGAGCACCTATGTAGGGCTCTGTGCTGGGTGTGGAACATGCTTAGGATTCTCTTTCTCTGTCCCTGTCCCCCGGTTGCGCATACACGTGTTTTCTTTTTCAAGAAAAAAAATTTTTTTCTCCCCAGGGGTAGAGAGGAAATATTTACAATATGTACCTAGAATTTTCAAGTTTAAAATGCAATAGCCCAATATAAAATGAAATCTACCAGGGGTGCCTGAGTGGCTCAGTCAGTTAAGTCTAACTCTTGATTTCAACTCAGGTCATGATCTCAAGGTTTGTGAGATTAGGATTCTCTCTCTCCCCCTTCCCTCTCTCTGCCTCTCCCCTGCTGATGCTCTCGCAAAATAAATATTAAAAAAAATTAAAGTTAGAACCTAAGCATAAAAAGTATATATAATAAAAGATGTTTTTTTTTTTAAGATACTTGCAACATTTTTCTCAACAAACATACCATTATCACTTACATTAATGAAATCTTTTGTGTAACATAGAAACTAATACTGGAATCTCACAAAGCAGCTGAGTATTCCTTAAATTCAAATTTTTCATCTTTATATAGAAATGTCTTAGTTTTTACTATCATATAAGTGACCCATGCTTAGTGTAAAAAACAAAACAAAACTAAGATTCTAGCACAGAAATGTACAAAATAAAAAAACTTTCAAGAACTCCTTCTCTTCCCAACTCCACTATCCAGACACAATCCATGTTAATATTAATAGATGGTGCATATTCTGCCAGACCTTAGGTAGGCACTTACAAATACACATATGCACACGCCCCAAGTGATTCTACATATTATCTTACCTAACTATATACCATGGACATATCAATATACATTCATCTTTTCTATAGTTTTTAAGAACTGTACAGAATTCCACTCTGTTCAGCAACTTTCTTTTGCTTGGTAACATGAAAATACCTGGTGAAACTCCTGAGTACTCAAAGCTCTAGAAGGAGCAAGGTTAAAAATGTACAGATGTTTTGTATCAGCTACTAAACAGCTAAAGAAACACTGGTCCTCTATACTAACAGAATTCTTATATTGCTTTTAAAAATGACAGGAAAATAACCCAAAGTGGCTACAGCCAAAAGCCACCTATTTCAGGTAAATGGATTCATTTTTCTAAATTGGACAGAAAAAATATACTAATTTCTTCTCCTTTTTTTAATATTTATTTTTGACAGAGAGAGAGAGAGAGAGAGAGCGAGCGCGCACGCACGAGCATGTGAACTGGGGAGGGGCAGAGAGAGACGGAGACAGGTTCTGAAACGGGCTCTGTGCTGAGAGCAGAGGGCCCGATGTGGGGCTTGAACTCATGAGCTGTGAGATCATGACCTGAGTCAAAGTCAGATGTTTAACCACTTGAGCCACCCAGGCACCCCTATGCTAATTTCTTCTAAAATAGAACTATATACCAGAGAATTCTGTTTGGCTCTGCAAGAGATACCATAAAAACAGAAGACAAAGTCCTGATATTAAGAAGTTACACAACCTTACTAAGAAGATAAGCAGATGTGGAAAAAATTACAAAATTAAAAAGGCAACATATTGCCTAGTGACAGGGCTACCTACACACACTCAATTTGTATTTTGCATCCAATCTTCAAACTGAACAAATAGAAAGAACAACATACAAACAGTTCTGTGGCTGGAGACTGACTAGTTTTATCAATACCATGTTTCAAGAACAGGGCTGGTCTTAAATACCTCTACCCAGCACTCTGCAATACAGAGGAATACAAGGAGACCTCATTCAATACCTGGGGGATGAATTCATTTAAAAATCACCTTACTATCTTTGGGGTGCCTGGGTGGCTCAGTCAGTTAAGCGTCCGACTTCGGCTCAGGTCATGATCTTGCAGCTTGTGAGTTCAAGCTGTGCACCGGGCTCTGTGCTGACAAATCGGAGCCTAGAGACTGCTTCGGATTGTGTCTCCCTCTCTCTCTGCCCCTCCCCCACTCACACTCTGTGTCTCTCTCTCTCTCTCAAAAATAAAATAACATTAAAAAAAAATGTTTTTAAATAAATAAATAAAAATCACCTTACTATCTTTACTTTCTGGCAACATATGAAGTGAAGAGAGTGGTGACTAGCCACAGGGCTGCATCTGGAACATTTATTATACTTACCGCAGTGCTTCTGCATAAAACAGATACTCCTTTAGCTGATCTGCATAATGTTCTTCATCTTCTAAAATATCATCAATAGAAGATGCATACCTGTTTAAAAAACATTGCATACAAACTTTTATCATGATACAAAGTATTAATGATAGAAAGAAGTGTTGTTCAAAGTATGTATGGTCCAACAGACCATTTGCTACCTTCAGTAACAAAATAAGTACACAGAGTGAGAATAAGTATTGAGAAACATTTGTAGCAGTTAAAAAAAATTTTTTTTAATGTTTATTTATTTTGGAGAGAAAGAGAGACAGAATGTGAGCAGGGGAGGGGCAGAGTGAGAGGGAGACACAGAATCTGAAACAGGCTCCAGGCTCTGAGCTGTTAGCACAGAGCCCGATGTGGG